GAGGATAAAATTATGAGGGAGTAAGGACATGGGAGGAGGTATGGGGGGGACTGGGAGGGGTAGAAATAATGCAAATACAATACTCCTGTATGAAACTCTCAAAACACAATTTTTTGGGGGGATCTTTTTGAGACAGGGTCTCCCTGTAGCCCCAGGTGTCCTGGAACTTGCTATGTAGACCAAGCTGGCCTTGAACTCACAGAGATCTGCCTGCCTCTGCCTCCAGAGTGCTGGGATTAAAGGCATGCACCACCACGTTTAAAAACACAATTTTTTAAAAAGGGAGTCTAGCTGGGCATGGTGGTGCACACTCCTTTAGTCCCAGCACTCGGGGGGGGGGGGGCGCAGAGGCAGGCAGATCTCTGTGAATTCAAGGCCAGCCTGGTCAACATAGCGAGTTCCAGGCCAGCTGGGGCTACAGGGGACCCTGTCTCAAAAAGACTCCCATTCTCACACACCCCGCAGCCTTGGCTCCCTGTACCAGTGTCAGCTGCGGGCATGGGAAATCATGAGAAATCTTGCCATCACATGAATTACAGGAACTCCAGTTCTCTGACTGAAGAGGAAGGGACTGAGGGGAAGTTTAGAGAGGCCTGTGTGGGCAGGGGAAGCTGCTTCTGGAGTTCAAGACATCTAGTTAAATTTGAATTTCATACACACCAAAAACATTTTTGTTAGTATAAGTAGGTTCCATTGGAGGTGTGGACTAGTTTCATACCAAGAAAACGTTAATTATTCATTTTTTTAAACTTAGAAGTCCATTTAACCCAGGCATTCTGAATTTTATGTAGCAAAAACAGCTTCCTTTAGGGGCCTCTTTCATCGGAACCCACCAGGACCCCCTTCAAGACGCATCTACCATAGACTTTCACTTCTTCTTTCTCAATGACCCGGCACCCAGAGGGAGAGCCCCTACCACCCTGCACCCATCCACACCCAGGTTACAAAGCCAGACATAAACCAGTCCCTTCCCTCCTCTCTGCAGCCAGAGATGGCTAGAGATGACCAGTTCTAGACACCCAAGGGCCAGGCAGACACCCCACGAAACGGAGCAGGCAGGTGGCTGTGTGCGTGTGAGAAAGGGAGAATTCGGTGGCCTCTGAACTCACCATCAGCAGCTCAGGTCTCGCATCACTTCCCAGGACTCCTTCTGCATTTCCCCTCCACACGCTGATAAGACACAGACCAGCTGGGTTAGGAGCTCGACGTGGGCAGGTCCAAGAGCCCCCTGAAGCGAAAATGTCACGGTTACCACCGCTGCTGCTGCTGTCCTTGCTGCTGAGGGGTGAGTGGGTCCAGGGCCAGAGGGACCCCCTGGTCAAGGCTGGGGCTGGAGCTGCAGGTCAGGCCTCTGTCTCCCACAGGGTCTCAGGCTCAGAACTCAGACTACCAGGTACACATGGAGAAGGTTGTGACGGTGCAGGAAGGGCTGTGTGTCTTCGTGCCCTGTTCCTTCTCATCGCCTGAATCCAGGTGGAATAAACTATTCTTAGCCTATGGCTACTGGTTTGAAACTGGAACTAAGACTGATGCTGGGAGTCCAGTGGCCACGAATGATAAAAGTAAAAGAGTAAAACTGAGGACCCAGGAGCGATTCCAGCTCGTGGGGAATCTTGAAGAAAAGGACTGTTCCTTGGTGATCAGAGATGCACAAAAGGGAGATAGCAGAAGGTACTTCTTCCGGGTGGAGAGAGGACTTGAGAAATATAGTTTCATGAATGAATTCTTGCTACAAGTGACAGGTAAGAAATATGGCCTCAGCGGCACCCCTGCCTCTCACTGGGGAGGGACAGTTGGAGATGGACCTTGATGCCCAGTGGGAAAATTCTGGAGAGACTTGCTGGAGTAACAGGATGTACCCTTCTCTCCCCTAGACCTTACTCAGAAGCCAGATGTCTTTGTTCCCAAGATCCTGGAGCCCGGACAGCGAGTGACAATCTTCTGTGCGTTTAACTGGGCCTTTGAACAATGCCCTGTCCCTTCTTTCTCCTGGACTGGGCCTGCCGTCTCCTCCCAAGAAACCAGACCACGCACCTCCCATTTCTCAGTGCTGAGCTTCATCCCCAGACCTCAGCATCATGACACGGAGCTCACCTGTAGGGTAGACTTCTCCAGAAAGGGAGTGGGCACACAGACAACAGTCCGACTGAGCGTGGCCTGTGAGTATGGAGTGGTGATTTGAGCTCTGGATAGAGTCCTACTGGTAGAGAGTGGAGACTCCCCCAGCTCCATGCTCAGGACGGTTCATGGAAATGGTGGGATGTTGGCAGAGCACTTTCCTAACATGGGTGAGGCCATGGGTTCCATCCTCAACACCACATAATCCAGGTGTGGTGCTCACATCTGTAATCCCAGCACTTGGGAGGCAGAGGCAGGAGGATCAGAAGTTCAAGATCATCCTGGGCTACATAGCAGCTACACACACCAGGATAGTTAAGATCCTGTCACAAAGGAAAAAGGGGGCTGCTGAGGAGATGGCTTAGTCAAGAAAGGGCTGACACACAAGTGTATGACCTGGAATTTGCATTCCTAGGACCCACATAAAAGTCAGACAGGCATAGTAGTTCACCTGTAACCCCATTGCTCAGGAGGCAGATGCAGGAGGTCCCTGGGTAAGCTGGTTAGCTGAATTGGTGAGCTCTGGGTTCAGTGAGAGACCCTGACTCAGTAAATAAAGTGGAGAGCAATTTAGGAAGACACCTGACACTAGACATCAACCTCTGGCCTCCATACACACACATGTGCACACATGTACAGCCACACATGTACACATATGCATTTACACCACACACACACATGTAAAAACAAAAAACAATTCACTGGGAGGAAGGAGTGATGCACTGCCCTGGGTGTGCCTGGGCCCTGGGAAGGGATGGTGTCCACTGGTCTCCTGCCCTTCCTGGAATGGTCACATTTTGTTTCCGTGAGGGGCTTCTCCTTTTGAGGAACAAAACATCCCTTCCTGAAGCTGGCTCACAATCTTCTCACAGATGCCCCCAGAGACCTTGTTATCAGCGTTTTCCATGACAATGTGCCAGGTACTGAGGGCCTGCTGGAGTGGCATAGGGTTGCCCCAGTCCTCTTTGGGAAATGAAATATCTGGGGGTGGGGGGCGGTGACAGCGTTAAACTCTTTCTGCAGCCCTACGCTCTCTGCCCATTCCCTGCCTGTCCCTCTGTATCTCATATATGTTTCAATCTATCTGCGTCTGTCTCTTTTTGTCTCTATCTCTGAGTGTCTCTCTATATCTCTGTTTAAGTGTCTCTGTTCCTGTACCTCTGTGTTCTCTCTCTCTCTCTCTCTCTCTCTCTCTCTCTCTCTCTCTCTCTCGTCTCCCTCCCTCTCTCACTCTTTCTCTCTGGTCCTAGAGTCCCTGGGAAACACCCCTCATCTGGAAGTCCAGCAAGGCCAGTCCCTGCGGCTCCTCTGCTCTGCTGACAGCCAGCCCCCTGCCACCCTGAACTGGGTCCTGGAAGACCGGGTCCTCTCTTGGTCCAGCCCTGTGGACTCCAGAACCCTGGGGCTGGATCTGCCCAGGGTGAAGGCTGGGGACTCGGGTCGCTACACTTGCCTAGCAGAGAACAAGCTGGGTTCGCTGAACGGCACCCTGAATCTTTCTGTGCTGTGTGAGTGTGACTGGCTAGAGGCCCCTGGTTCGGGGAGGGCAGCCTGGGGGGAGGAGGTGGGGGGCTCAGAGCCCCTGGCTCCCAAGACTGGGCTTATAACAGCCAGATCAGCAGCAGTTTGTGTTGGGGACCCAGTGAGTGATTCAGCCACCCACCACCTCCATCTCTGGGATGGGTCCTCTGCCCAGTGGGAAGCCACTGGCCTTTCTGCAGCCAGTTCCCTGTCTTGGTTGCAGATCCCCCAGAGGACCTGAGAGTGACCATTTGGCAAGCAAACAGGACAGGTAGGAAGCAGGCAGAGGAAGCAGGGCCTTCCCATGCCCATGGGGTCCAGGTGACAGAGCCCCAGGTGACTGCCTCTCCTCCTCCCAGGGCTGGAAATCCTTGGGAATGGCTCTTCCCTTCCGGTCCTGGAGGGCCAAAGCCTGCGCCTGGTCTGTGTCAGCCACAGCAATCCCCCAGCTAGTGTGAGCTGGGCCTGGGTGACACAGACCCTGAGCCCAGTGCAGCCTTCAGACCCCGGGATCCTGGAGCTGCCCGTGGTTGGCAGGGAGCACGAAGGACACTTCACCTGTGCTGCCCAGAACCCGCTGGGAGCCCAGAGCATCTCCCTCAGCCTCTCTGTGCACTGTGAGTGGGAGGGGACACCTGGGGCCTGGGATTTGGGGACACCTGTTGACCCTTCTTTTCCCCACAGCACCCCCAGAGATTCTGGAACCCTCCTGCTCCTGGGAGGCTGAGGGTCTGCACTGCAGCTGCTCCTCCAGAGCCTGGCCGGCCCCCTCCCTGCACTGGCGGCTGGGGGAGGGGCTGCTAGTGGGGAACAGCAGCAATGCCTCCTTCACCGTCACCTCCAGCTCCACGGGACTCTGGGCCAACGGCTCCCTGAGCTTCCGTGGAGAGCTTAGGCCTGGCATGGAGTTCAGCTGCGAGGCCAGGAATGACCACGGGGTCCAGAGAGTCACTGTCCTGCTGCTGCTGGGTCAGGGCCTTAAGATTCTCTGTGGAGGGGCTGGGTAGGGCAGGCAGCAGGGCTCTGTGGTTGGAACACACGCCTGAGAGAATACACAACCTGTGACCAAGTCAGTGTGAAGAACGGAAGGGTAGTCCTAGCCCCTAGCCCGGGATGCTCACCCGCTCTTCTCCCTCGGCAGGTAGGGCTTTCTCCAAGGGAGCATTTGTGGGCATGGGTGTTACGACTCTCCTCCTCGCCCTCTGCCTCCTGGTGATCATGTGAGTTGGGATGAGCCATGGGCGGGGGGGGGGGGGGGGGGGGGCAGTGACTGGGCCCACCGGGAAAGGGCAGAGGGAACAGCACATAGCAAGGCAGGAGTCCTTCTCTCAGTGTGAAGATGCTGTGGAAGAAACGGACCCAAGAGAACACCTTGAGGCCCAAGCTCTCACGGGGCAGTACGATCTTGGATTACATCAATGTGTTCCCGGGAACCAGATCCCTGGTGAGTGACTGCTAGTCTGGGTGGACCATCCTCTCTGCTCTCTAAATCAGCATCGCAGGCTATGTCTGTGCAAAGCTCTTCCAAGCACTTCCCGTACCTTAGAGACTTAGGGGTGGAAAAAGCATCTCATATGGGATCGGAACCCTGGTCCCCTCTGAGCCTTCACTTGTTTCCTAGTTGAGGATCTGAGCAGTCCCTCGACTGTGCCTGCCATCACCAAGAGCGTTACTAATGGCTACTTAGTATTTGTGGCTGTTGTTCTGCTCTGCTGGGGATGGAACCCAGAGCCATATACATGTCTGGTTCTATTAAAGAACCACAGCCCAGCCCCTCACTGGGGGACTCTAGGTAGGGACTCTACCAGGGAGTCACACCCCAGCCCTACTTTAGAGACTACTGTGATGCTATAATCATGCCAAGATATAAACTTTAAGAAAACCCTAAGTCAAAGTGCCTCAATCCCCTATTAAACCCTCCAGTGACTTCCTGTTCAGATTTGCAAAGACTTCAGAGTCTTCTTGGGCCTCTCTGACCAGCGTCCACTGGGTTTTCCAGACTCTATATAACTACATAAACCATCTTGTCCTTTCAAGTTTATTTTTACTTTATTTATTATTATTATTATAGGCGTGCATGCATGCCACGTGTGGAGGTCATAATTTCTTTGTGATGAGATTATCTGATCTATATGTATGGATCATTTTTATCTTAAGATATGTTTTTAAGTGTGTGTGTATGTGTGTGTGTGTGTGTGTGTGTGTGTGTGTGCACATGTGTGCCTGGTGCCTGTGGAGGCCAGAAGAGGGCATTGGATCCCCTGGAATTAGAGTTACAGATGGTTGTTAGTTGCCATGTGGGTGCTGGTCCTCAGTAAGAGCAGCCAGTGCTCTTAACCACTGAGCCACCTCTCCAGCCCCCATGTACTGATTGTCCCATGCCCCAAGGTGGGGCAGGAACTTCATCTCACTCCCAGATACAGCCCCAGCCCCTAACCCAGCGTCTGGCACATGCTACATTCATTCATGTGCCAAGTTCTCCCGAGACCCGCGTGTGCTCTCTGGGATCCCAGGGCCACGCTGTCCTACTGCGGACTGACAAAACCAACACGATACATTCTACTTGGATTTTTGTCTAGTTTATGCCATCCGGGAAAGGGTTACTTAGAACGGCCTGACCGCCCTGGGCTCTGTTCTCACATCGCAGCTCAGCTTCGAGCTCTGCCACCTGCCAAGATGGCGATGCTCTCCTTTTCCCAGTGTCCTCAGCGGCTGGCCTTAGCCCCGCCCCCTCATGACTGATTGGGTGGGAGGAGTGACTGTCTCGGAGGCCACGCCCACCAGGCCACAGCTGCTCCTTAGGTAAGTGACTCTGTGCTGTTGCTCAGGCTCGGAACCCGAAGAGCAGGCCTCACGCCCCCGCCGGCGCCTCTTCTCCGGACACCCATGTCCCTGAAGCCGGGAAGAAGCAAAAGGACGGCCCGGACCTCACACCACCGGCTCCCGCCCCAGTCTCTGAAAACTACCAGGAAGAGGTCCACTACGCTGCTCTGAACTACCCCCGCCTCAGACCGTGCCAGACCCAGCCTCCCCAGGACACCTACTCTGAGTATGCGGAAATCAGGTTCCACTGAGGACGTCCTGGACGTTAGGGTTGAGCCATTAAAGAGGTTCACGAAACAGAGCGCAGTCTCTGTTTAAAAATAATCTCCTGGGGGCTGGAGAGATGGCTCAGCAGTTAAGAACGCTGGCTGCTCTTGCAGAAGACCCGGGTTCGAATCCCAACACCCACATGGCAGCTAGCAGCTGTTCCTAACTCCAGTTCCAGGGGATCCAACAGCCTCTTCTGACCACTGCGGGCATTGCACGACACGGGTGCACTTACCTACATGCAGGCAATATACACATACACAAAAAATAAAATTAATTAATTAATTAAAAAATAATAATAATAATGAAAGCACTTCTCAGGCCAGCAAGATGGCTTAGCCATCAAGCTGGCGACCTGAGTTCAATCCCTGGGATCCTCATGGAGGAAGAAGAAAGTTGTCCTATGACCTCTATATGCACGCTTTGGCACTTACACACCTGCACACATACACACACAGACGCACACACTGTCAATAAATATAAACAATAATGTGCCGAAGGGCATTTGATAAAATGGCCAACGGTGTATTTTGTGATTTTGTTCACTTTTGCTGAGAGATTTTGCTTTCTTAAATAAAACGGTAATTTTTTTAAAATTTTGTGTGTGGTGTGTGTATATACATTAATATGTCATGGAGCACATGTGGAGGTCAGAGGGCAACTTGTGGGAGTTGGTGCTCTCCTTCCACCATGTGGGTCCCAGGATTGAATTCATATCGTCAGACTTGGCATCAGGCCCCTTTACCCTGAGACATTTTGCTGACCCCAGATGTGGTCATTCTTATTTAAAGAAATGGTTCTCTAAGGATATTCCATCCCATCCCAGACTCGGGCATTTGGAAAGCTTAGTCAGTCTAGCCCAAGTATCTGTCTCTGGTGGGGTTCTTTGGTTTGGGTTTTTTGTTTTTTTTTTCTGTTTTATTTTGCGGGGGCGGGGGAGCTGGGTTGGAACTCACTGTGTAGACCATGCTAGCCTCAAACTCACAGAGATCGCCTGGCCTGTGCCTCCCTAGTGCTGGAGTTAAAGGCAAGCACCCTGGTGTTTGGTAGCCATCTTTGAATACGCTGCTCTGAAAAGCAAAGCAAAGATTTCCCTCATGCATACCCAGGCACCATCCTGGTAAAACATCTTACAACATCACAGGTTCCCAAAGGTGTGAGGCCCTTTCAAGATGACCAGACAGCTCAGTAGGTAAAGGTGCTGCCAAGCCTGGTACCCACAGGGTGGAGACGCCCACAAGTTGTGCTTTAACCTGCATGTATCCTCCACACATGCAGGGTGGTGCACACACAGACACATGAAGCAAATAAATAAATGTATAAAATAATTATTTTAAATAAGTTGTGGGGCTGGAGAGATGGTTCAGCAGTTAGGAGCACTGACTCTTGCAGAGGATCTGGGATCGAATTCCAGTACTCACATGATAGCTAACAACCACCTGTAACTCCAGTACCAGGGGACTCTGATGCCTCTTCTGACACCTGGGGGCATTGCACAACACCGGTGCACTTACACACATGCAGACAATATGCTCATACACATAAAAATAATAAAAAAATTTTTGAAAAAGAGGGCTGGGGGTATAACTCAGTTGGAAGGGCACTTGCCTACCATGCACAAAGTCCTGAGTTCAGTTCCCAGCATGCATTGCATAAACTGGACGTGGTGGTGCATACCTGCAATCCCAGCACTTGAAAGATGGAGAGAGGAGGATCAGAAGTTCAAGGTCATCAGCTATGACATGGCAAGTTCAAGTCCAGCCTGGGCTAAAGACTCCACCTCAAAAACAGAAAAAAAATGGGGCTGGAGAGATGGTACAGTGATTTAAAAGAAATGCTTGGGGCAGGGACTGGAGACATGGCTCAGCAGTTAAGAGCACTAGCTGCTCTTGCAGAAGATCTGGGTTCAATACCCAGCACCCCCATGGAGGTTAACAACCATCCATAATTCCAGTTCCAGGGATAGGATACCTTCTTATGACATCCACAGGCACTGCACAACATGGGTGCACTTAATACACATGCAGACGGAACACTCATACATTTAAAATAAAAATAAATTTTAATTTAAAAACACAGGAAAATGACTTAGAAAGGAACACATCTAATTTAAAAACGTGGAGATTATGAGGTGGTTATGCAGACCTGTCATCCCAGCTGTCAGGAGGTGGGGGGAAGGGGGCAGAGGCTCAGGAGTTCAAGGTCATCCTCCAGTACATATGGAGTTAGCCAACCTAGGATACCTAGGACCCTGTCTCAAAAAACAATATTTTTTTCTGGAAAGGTGATGGCCCAGGGGTTAAGAGCACTGGCTGCTCTTGCAGAGGACCCAGGTTTGGTTCCCAGCACCTACACCACGGCTAACAACTCTCCATAACTCCAGTTCCAAGGACTCTGCCGCCCTCTTCTGGCCTCTGTGGACATTGCACGACATGGGTGCAGATAGGTACATGAAAGCAAAACATTCATACACATAAAATAAATAAAATTAAAACTAAAAATGTATTCTGACTCTATTTATATTGACTTGATTTATATATTTTTTTCTATTCATGACTTGTTTTACAATGCTGAGGCCAAACCCAGGACCTTGTGCACACAGCCACTGGAGTATATCTCTAACTGTACTTGTGAAAACTTTTATGTGAGTGGCTGATGTACGCTTACTCTCGGTCAGGGGCTGCTGTTCAGTATTTACGGTAACTGTTAACTGTTCGATGTTGTATTATTTACTTTTCCCTTCTCAGGGACCAAATACACAAGAAGCACGTCTATTTGGGCTCAGAAGACTCCACCGTGTCGGGGCAGACGTGGCTGAGGGAGCATGAGGCAGCTGGTCAGGCTGTGTCCAGGCTTGAAGCAGAGCAAGATGAATTTTCCTGTTTGGCTCACCTTCTCCTCCCTCCTCCCTCCCCTTTTTCTTTCATTTTAGCACCTTTCTCTTTTTTATATATTTTATTTTTTATGTGTCTCGGGGAGGGGACAAGTGCTAATGGAATCCAGAGGCTTCAGATCCCCCAGAGCTGGAGTTACAGGCAGTTGTGAGTTTCCCAACCTGGGTCCTGGCTCGAACCTAGGTCCTCTGCAAGAGCAGTACCCACCCTTAACCACTGAGCCATTTCTCCAACCTCTTAACATCATTCTTTCTTCTTTTTACCTTCTTTTACTTTTTATTTATTTATTTATTTATTTTATTTTTGGTCTTTTTGAGACAGGGTCTCCTTGTAGCCCCAGCTGTCCTGGAACTCTATGTAGACCAGGCTGGCCTTGAACTTACAGAGATCCGCCTGTCTCTGCCTCCCAAGTGCTGGGACTAAAGGCATGTGCCACCACGCCCAGCCTATTTATTTTTTATTTTATGTAAATGAGTGTTCTGTCCACATGAATGGACCATGTGTGCACAATGCTGGCAGAGGCCAGAAGAGGGCATCAGATCCCTTGGAACTGGAACTGTGGACAGTTGTTAGCCCCCATGTGGGTGCTGAGAATCAAACCCAGGTCCTCTGCAAAAGCAGCCAGTGTTCTTAACCACTGAGCCACAACCTCGCCAACCCCAGGAAAAAAAAACACTGAATCATCGATTCAGCCTCTAGAATACATTTTAAATATTTTACTTTTATTATATGTGTATTAGTGCTTGCCTACATACATGTATGTGTATCCTATGCACACAGTGCCTGCAGAGGCCAAAAGAGGACGTCAGATGCCCTGGAGCTGGATTACAGGTGGTTGTGAACGCCTTGTCAGGGCTGGGACCGGTACCTGGGTCCTCTGCAAGAGCAGCCAGTGCTGCTGAGCCATCTCTCCAGCCCCTGCTTAGCACCTTTTTTTAGTCCAAAATTAAGTCCCACACAGCAATTACTGCTATTCCAATGAGGCACATGTTCCAAATGTCATCCTGACCCAGAAATAACATTCACATCATTAGAAAATAACAGAGAACTTCATTAAAGCTGAAATAATAAACTGTATTTTTAAAATATTCATGTATTTTTATATCATATGTATGAGTTTCACCTGCATATGTGTATATGCACCACATATATGCAGTGCCCATGGAGAGGACATCAGCCCCCCTGGATCTGAGCCACCATGTGGGACCTGGGAATTCAACTGGGTCATCAGACTTGGCTCCCTTGTAGACCTCTCTAGTTCGCTTTGTCAACTTGACACAGCCCAGAGTCATCTGAAAAGGACTGTCCAGATCAGACTGTCCTGTGGGCATGTCTGTGGGAAACTAACTTGATTGCTGCTTGTATAGGAGGGCCCAGCCTACTGTGGGACTGGGGAGATGACTCAGTGGTTAGAAGCACTGTCTGCTCTTGCAGAGGATCTGGGTTCAATTCCCAGCACCCACATGGGAGCTAACAACCATCTGTAACTCCAGTTCTAGGGGATCCAATCCCTTCTTATGACCTCCCTTGGGCATTGCATGACACAGGTGCATTTACACATATGCAGGCAATACACTCCTACACATAAAAATAATGAAAATAAAATATTTTTAAAAATATATTTCTTTTTCCTTCAAGTTGCTTTTCTTGGGGTATTTGATCACAGATACAAAAAAGCAACTAATACCCCAGGATGTACCTCTAGACCTTCTGACTTAAGATAGGGCCCTAGAGATAGTTTTCCCGTATGTCAGTAATTCTGATGTGTGCTGATGTCATGGTAGAACCACTGATCTCATACGTATTAATCCTGGCTGTTTGATTTGTGGATCTCGGGGTGCCCTCATCTGTAATGTGAGGAACAAATGAGATTCCAAAATATAATTTTAGGGGGCTGGAGAAATGACTCAGGGGTTAAGAGCACTGGCTGCTCTTGCAGAAGACCTGGGTTTGATTCCCAGCACCCACATGGTGGTTAATAACTGTCTGTACTCCAGTTCCAGGGGATCTGATGACGCCCTCTTCTGACTTCCTAGGGCATTGCACAACACAAGTGCATTACATACATGCAGGCATACATTTTTTTTAAAAACTTTAGGCAAGTGCACTCAGGAGGCAGGGGCAGGTGGATCTCCATGAGATCAAGGCCAGACTGGTTGACATAGAGAGTTCCAATCAGCCAGGGCTACACAGTGAGATTGTCTTAGGAAAAAAAAAAAGATTTAATTATGTGTGCACACACATGAGTGCAGTGCCTACAAAGGCCAGAAGAGGGCGTTGGATCCTCTGGGGCTGGAGCTACAGGAAGTTGTGAGGGGCCTAGTGTGTGCTAGGAATCAAACTCCACTCGTCTGCAAACTCCGGTAATCTGGCTCTTAGCCACTGAGCCATCTGTCTAGTCCCAAGATTCTTTCTTAACTGTGGGAGAAGTTGTTGATTCAGAGATGACTGATAGACTTCACACAGCCTCAGAGGACGTAAGCATGAGACATGTGCTCTAACATAAGCAGTCTTGCAAATGGCTGTTTTTTTCCTAGGAGGAAAGTCAGATTTTTGTTTGTGTTTTTGAGACACAGCCTCCTGTACTCCAGGACTGCCTCAGTAGGTAATCAATGCTGACCTTCAAAGTCTATTTTTCAATTTAGATTTTTTTTAAAAAATGATTTTATTTATTTTTATTTGATGTGTATGATTTGTTTTGCCTACCCATATGTAAATGTATCAATGTTGTGAAATACCTGCAGAGGCCAGAAGAGGGTGTTGGGTCTCCTGAAACTGTGCATGCAATGCCCAAAGAGGTCAGAAGAAGGTGTCAGATACCCTGGAACTGGAGCTATGGATGGTTGTTAGCTGCCATGTGGTGCTGGGATTTGAACCCAGGTCCTCTGTAAGAGCAGTCTCTATTCTTAAACTCTGAGCCATCTCTCCAGCCTCTTGTGTCATAATTCTTCTAATTTTGGGGGGGCGGTCTTTTTGAGATGGGGTCTCCCTGTAGCCCCAGTTGGCCTGGAACTCACTGCAGACCAGGCTGGCCTTGAACTCACAGAGATCCACCTGCCTCAGCCTCTTGAGTGCTGGGATTAATGGTGTGGGCCACCACGCCCAACTACATTCCTTTTTTTGTGTCACTCTGATACTTGTACATGGGCCCCTTAGACTTTCTGAGTGTCTGTGTGTGCAGAGCTCATGGCCCATTTCCAGAGTAATGGGATTGCTTCTAGCTTGTACCTTTATTGCTAAAGTCAGGTTTCAGCTGCATTTGGAACCAGGAACCAATACACTCATACACATAAAATAAAAATAATAAATAAGGCCAGGTGTGGTGGCGCATGCCTTTAATCCCAGCACCTGGGAGGCAGAGGCAGGCGGATCTCTGTGAGTTCAAGGCCAGCCTGGTCTACATAGTGAGTTCCAGGACATGGGGCTACAGGGAGACCCCATCTCAAAAAGACCGCCCCCCCAAAATTAGAAGAATTATGACACAAGAGGCTGGAGGGGGAGGGGGGCAGGAGACAGAAAAAGGAGGAGCTCAAGGTCATCCTCAGCTACATAGTGAATTTGAGGCCAGCCTGGGCTACAAGAAACCTTGGAAAGGGAGTAGGAGGAAGCGGAGGAGGGGGAGAAAGAGGAGGGGGAGGAAGGAGGAGGGGGGACTAGAGGGTAGGGAAGGGGAGGGGGGGAGAGGGGCTAGGGGTGTAGCTAGTGAAAAAGACTATAACATTCGTTGAACACACAAGAGGTCACAAAAGTAAATAGGAAATTAAAGATTCATAGTCTTAAGCTGGGGATGTAGCTCAGTTGGTAGAGTGATCTCCTAGCATGTGCAAAGCCCTGGGTTCCATGCCCAGCACCACATAAAACCCAAGCGGTGGCCCATGCCTGTAAACATGGGAGGTGGAAATGGGAAGATCAGGAGGTCAAGTCATCCTCGACCACATAAGTTCCAGACCAGCCGGGTGTACATGACAAAAGACAGTACCCACAGAGACCCTAAGAGGGTGTCAGACCCCCTGGAGCTATAAACTGCCCTGTGGGTGTTGCGAACTGAACCCAGGTCCTCTAGAAGAATGGCAAGTTATCATTCCAGCCCCAAATTAAATTAAATTGAAAAAGGACTGATTTTCTTTCTCAGTCTTATGTGCCCAGAGTTCTCAGTTGTTTTTCTCATCAGAACTGTCAACCTCCAAGTGTTCTGGAACCTTCCCCTGGTTCCTGTCCCTAAGCACCTATTCTAAATAGTCCATTACCCACAACCCTGATTTAATATCTAAAGGTATTCAGTTTTGTTGGTTGGTTTTCGTTTTGCTTCATTTATTTAATTTTTATTTTATGTGTACGAGTGCATTGCCTTCACGTGTGTAAGCGCACCCATGTCGTACAGTGCCCTCAGAGGTCAGAAGACCGTGTTGGACCCCCTGGAACTGGAGTTACGGATGGTTGTGAGCCACCCTGTGGATACTGGGAATTGAACCAGGGTCCTCTACAAGAGCAGTCAGTGCTCTAACGCTGAGCCGTCTCTCCAGCCCATTTTGTTTCATTTTTGAGGCAGGGTCTCCTATAGCTCAGGCTGGCTTTGAATTAACTATGTAACTGAGGTTGACCCTGAACTCATGGCCTTCACCTCCCAGGTGCTGAGGCATGAGGCACCACAGTCCACTTTCTGTAAATATTTCTTAAATAACTGGACACGTGGGGCTGGTGAGATGACTCAGGGGGTAAAGGTATCTGCTACCAAACGTGCCGACCTGTCTTTGATCCCCCAGGAGAGAACTAACTTTCCAAAGTTACCATCTGGCTTCCACACACATACCATAGCATACATCACACACACACACACACACACACACACACACACACACACACACGATAAAAATAAAAAGGTCTGGTGAAAGTGCTAACTTTAGCCCCTTTCTCAAATGAGGAAACTGGGGCAGAGAGGCTCAGCAGACTTAGGGTCACAAGCAAGTTGGAGAACACAGGGGATGGGATCCACCCCCAGGACTGCTCAGTTTACCATCACCTACGGCCCCCAGGTTGCAGGGAGGGTCCACCTGTGGGTCTCCCGCCTAAAAGCAGTCACACCAATCCACCTTGAGGGCAGAGGAAAAAATACAGACATCAGTGGTCAGGCCTGTACGCCTGGGTCTGAGGGAGGAGAGCTGGGGTCTGGACCCCTGGGTCTGAGGGAGGAGAGCTGGGGTCTGGACCCCTGGGTCTGAGGGAGGAGAGCTGGGGTCTGGACCCCTGGGTCTGAAGGGAGGAGGCTGGGGTCTGGATCCCTGGATCTGAGGGAGGAGGGTGGGGTCTAGATCCCTGGGTCTGAGGGAGGAGGCTGGGGTCTGGACCCCTGGGTCTGAGGGAGGAGGCTGGGGTCTGGACCCCTGGGTCTGAGGGAGGAGTCTGGGGCCTGGACCCTGGGTCTGAGGGAGGAGGCTGGGGTCAGGCTCCTGGGTCTGGGGGAGGAGGCTGGGGTCTGGACCCCTGGATCTGAGGGAGGAGGCTGGGGTCTAGACCTCTGGGTCTGAGGGAGGAAGACCAGGGTCTGAAACCCCTGGGGCTGAGGTCAGACAGCTGGGGCTTGACCCTTGGGTCAGGCCCTGTTGGAGCTGGCTTCTAGGTAGCCTGGGATTAAGTATACTCTAGGCTCAGCAAGGCCCAGGCCCCTGCAGCTTGCTCGCCACGCCCCAGGGCTGCGTGCTCTTGCGTAGCCCCGCCTTCCGTCTTTATTTGCCCACCTCCCTCCCACCCCCAACCACAGAAGTATCTAGAAAAGACTTCGAAGCTCCTGGGAAGATGGACCAGCCGAAGGATGGGGCTGCGGAGAATGGGTGAGTACGACAAAACCGGCCAGGAAAGAGGCTCGGCGGGAAGAAGGGACGGCAAAGATTAGAGGAGAGGCGTATATTTTTTTTAAAAATTCTATTTATTATTTTTATTTTTTGTGTATGAGTGCATTGCCTGCATGTATGTAAGTGAATCCGTGTTGTGCCGTGCGGTGGAGGTCAGAAGAGGGTTTCAGATTCCCCTGGAACTGGAGTTAAGGATGGTTCATAGCCGCCATGTGGGTGCTGGGAATCGAACCCAAGTTCTCTGCAAGAGCAGGCAGTGCTCCTAACCATCTCTCCAGCCCCATATTTTATTATTTTTATTTTATGTGTATGAGTGTGTTGCCTGCATGTGTGTAAGTGCACCCTTAAGGTAAGGGCTTTGGATCACCTGGAACTAAAGTTACAGACTGCTGTTAGCTGCCATGTGGGTGCTGGGATTCGAACCTGGGTCCTTTGCAAGAGCAGCCAGTGCTCCTAACCACTGAGCCACCTCTCCAGCCCTGTGTCTTGTATTTTTAAAGGCTCAGATATTATGACCTAGGAACAGTCTTGAGCACTTTAGTACTGGGTGTCGAGCAGGTTACTTCAGGAAGTCCAAGGTTAACCTCAGCTATGTAGAGGAGGAAGCCAGCCTGGGCCACGGGAGACTCTGTTATCTCAAAGTAAGTAAGTAAATTAATTCATTAAAAAGCTAAACATTAGCTGGGTGTGGCAGCACAGGCCTTTACTCCCAGTACTCAGGAGGCAGAGGCAGGTGGATCTCTGTGAGTTAGAGGCCAGCCTGGTCTACATAGTGAGTTACAGGCCCGCTGGGGCTGCAGGGAGACCCTATCTCAAAAAAATAAAATTAAATTAAATAAACCTCAGACACAGGAGGTGGAAGTGGACCCAAGCTGTCTGGTGGTTCAGCTTAAGTGCAATCAATAGGAATTAATCGCAGCAGGGGATGGGAGAAAGCCACAGGCCGTGCATCTGCAGAGGTATAAGGAAGATGGTAATGACCTGACCTGTCCTATTGTCTTTCCAGGAACAGCTTTCTGCTGCCGACCCCCGGGACGGAGTCTTGTCCCTTCCCAGCCCTACCACCCTCGTTCCTGAGCAACCTAGATCCAGCCCACCTAGGTCTCCCGGAGCATCTGGCCTCTGTCACCGTCCCCATCCGCCTGGACACGCTGTCCTACCTCCTGCACAGTGCCCTGCTGGGGACCTACAACCTCCAGCAGTCCCTCCCCCCGTGCTCCTGTGCCACGGAGGCGTACCATGTCCAGTCAGACACAGTCAGGAGGCCATTCAGGGGCCGGGGACGTGGTTGGGGATATGGGGGCTGGGAAGGTCAGGGAAGGCCTCCACGAGGCCAGGGCCCATTGAGATGGGGCCCTGGGAGAGGCCAGCAGTTGGACCGGAACACGACAAGGAGCCCTGGGGCTGGCCCCAAGACCCCGACGATGACTCCACCAGCTCAGGATGGGCAGAAGCATTCCGGGGCGCAGGAGTCATCCCTCTCACGGCAGCCTGTTTCCGAAAACTGGGAGGCAGATTACTAGGACCCTGGGGGGGAGTGCCCAGCACCTGGGGAGTTTCCTGGAGCCCCCAACGATCTTCATCAGAGGTACCCCCCCAAACATACCATCTCTCCAATCCACCTGTCCCCAAACCACAATCTCTGCTGGTCCTCTTGAGAAGCTCAGACCTGACTTAAGCACCTTAAACTCATCCTGAACCTGAGTCCACTCCCAGACTCACACCTGACCCATCACTGTCCAAGCATCACCCCAATTCCACCTACAATCCCAGTGTACCCCTCCCAGGGTCCCTGGAACCCCATTCCCAGACACATATGGGGCCGCAAAGCCCTTCCCACTAGGCCCTTCTCCATTCTGCTGTCCGCCCTTTTGCCCCACCAGCCCCTCCCACTCCACTCTGGGCCTTCATTTCCAGTTTTGTGTGTTTGCTTTGGGGGGTATTTTCTTGTTTGTTTTACAGGGTTCTTTTTAGTCCCAGGGATTAAACCCAGGGACTCCTGCATGACACTGAAACACTAAGCTACATCTCCAGCCCTCTAACTTATTCTGAGACAGGGTCTTGCTAAGTTGTCCAGGCTGGCCTTAAACTTGCAGGCCTCCTGCCTCAGCCTTCCAGGTATCTGGGATTAAAGGCCAGGGCCTCCAGGCCTGGCTTCATTCCCAATATTTTGTTCAGACCAGGTCTCACCCTGGTCTCACTCCTCCAGTGTTTAGCAATCCTCCCATCCCAGTTTTTAGTTGGCATGTGCTGCTAGGCTAGGCTTCCCAATCTTTTGTCCTTCCATAGTTACCTCAGACCTTACCACCTCCATTGTTATCTTACAATACAGCCAACCCTAACCCTCAGCATCCACCTTGCCCCAGCCCAGCTCTGACAAGCCCTTGATCCTATACCCCATGAGGAAACCCTCGTCTTGACATGTCCAGACTCCTGTATTCTGCCCCCTCCGGGTGGGAAGCCTTGGAACAATAAATAGATGTAGCTCTTTCTGTGTGCGTTTTGCTGTGTCAGAGACTCGGGCTGCACGGTGGTGGCTGAGAACAAAGCCTGGGAGGTGGGAAGCTCTGGGGGAGGATCACAGAGGCCAGTGGGGCCAGGGACTGGGGGTGGGAGCCCCCATGTCCCTGCTTCAGCGAATTCAATTGGGGCCTTCTGCCACCGCTGCATTTCTGATTACTGGAAGCTGCCAGGGCATGTGGCCATTGTGTGGGGAGGCTTAAGGGATTGAGGGGAAACACTGGGCAGAGGTGCCAGTCTCCACAGAAGGGCTGTGGCAGAAGAAGGGCTCAGAGCAGACTCTACCACTCAGGTAGGTTCCATCTGGGACCTGTAGCCCCTGCCCAGAGACCCAGGGGTCTAGACCCCAGCCTCCTCCCTCAGACCCAGGAGTCCTCCCCAGCCTCCTCCCTCAGACCCAGAGATCCAGACCCCACACTCAGACCCAGGGGTCCAGACCCCAGTCCTTCTCCTTCAGACCCAGGGTCCTCCCCAGCCTCCTCCCTCAGACCCAGGGGTCCAGACCTCAGCCTCCTCCCTCAGATCCAAGGGTCCAGACCCCAGCCTCCTCCCTCAGACCCAGGGGTCCTCCCCTCCTCCCTCAGATCCAGAAAAATAGCTCAGAGCCCCAGTTCTCCCCTCTCCACAGATCACCATGTACAGCTTCATGGGTGGTGGCCTCTTCTGTGCCTGGGTGGGAACCATCCTGTTAGTGGTGGCTGCAGCCACAGATCACTGGATGCAGTACTGGCTGTCCGGATCCTTCGCCCACCAGGGGCTGTGGTGGTACTGCCTGGGTAACAAGTGCTTCCTGCAGACGGAGAGCATCGGTGAGCCCTGGGCCAGGGTCTGAGCATTGCTGAAGGCCCAGCCCTCATCCAGAACAGATCACCCCTGGCATTCCAGTGGGGTGCCTGGTGGCTCAGAGAGGCAGAGGGACTGACTCCAAGGACCCTCAGCAGGGAGGGGGACAGACCTGCATCTCGGATTGTTTTCTAGCTGCAGTGGTGGGTCTCAGGCCTTGCGGTTAGGTTGGTGAGGTGGCATTTCCTGGCACAAAAAGGTGTCAGGTGCAGCAGTAGTTGGGGCTGGGCTTGCCAGAGCATTTTATAAATTTATGCTGTGAGATGGGCATAGTAGCATGTGGCTACAGTCTCATGAGTTTGAGAACGTCCTGAACTACATGGTGAGACACTGTCTCAAAATACAAAAAAAAAAAAACAATAAATAAATGCTGTGGGCCAATGAGCTGTTAGAGACGGGCCCACAGAGGCTGTGGATGTGCTAAATGCCAGATGAAGGACATTTTGCTATTTACAGTATACCAGGCAGTGTATAGATAGATGGATGGCTGGATGATGGCTGGCTGGCTGGCTGGATGGATGGATGGATGGATGGATGGATGGATGGATGGATACATACATACATACATACATAAAATAGGATGGAAATGTAAATGATGGATTGGATAGATTAATAGATGGCTAGTCAAAATAAGACAGGAAGGAAGGAAGGAAAGGAAGGAAGGAAGGAAGGAAGGAAGGAAGGAAGGAAGGAAGGAAGGAAGGAAGGAAGGAAGGGAGGGAGGGAGGGAGGGAGGGTAGATGGCTAGGTGGAGAGAAAGAGCCAGACAGATAAACATGATGGCTCACACCTATAATCCCAGAACCCAGAGGCTGAGGCAGGACCCCAAACAAACAAAAGATGGATGGGTGCCTGGGCTTGGTGGTGCACACCTTTGATCCCAGCACTGAAGAGGCAGAGGCTGGAGGATCTCTGTAAATTCGAGGCCAGCCTGGTCTACATAGTGATAGACTCTGTCTCACAAAAACAGAAAAAAAATAGATGATTGATGATAGATGATAGATAGATGATAGATAGGTAGAGAGAGATAGATAGATGATAGATAGATTGATAGATGATAGATAGATAGATAGATAGATAGATAGATAGATAGATGATAGATAGGTGATAGATAGATGATAGGTGATAGATGATAGATAGGTGATAGATAGATGATAGATAGGCAGACAGATAGATGATGATGACAGATAGATAGATGATAGGGATAGATGATAGAAATACATGATAGATGATAGATAGATAGATGATAGGGATAGATAGATGATAAAAATACATGATAGATAGATAGATAGATAGATATAGATAGATAGATAGATGATAGATAGATGATAGATAGGCAGACAGATAGATGATTAGATAGATAGATAAGATTAGATAGATAGATAGATGATAGATAGATAGATGATAGATAGATAGATAGATAGATAGATAGATAGATAGATAGATAGATAGATAAGATAGGTAGGTAAATGTTGGGAGCTGTTTGTCTATTATGTACATTGAGCTGTGGCAGCCTTGTTTACTGAGTTTGTGTTATGCACACCGGTATCTAATCTGCCTAATCAGGAGGAATGTGTTTATATGGAGAGCCTCACAACACCTGACCTGGAGGCAATAGTGGTAAACAAAAAGATCAAAGAAGCCTTTGAAGTATCTGACCACTCCTTGACCCTCAGATACAATTGAGTTTTTCTGTATAAAAAGGTGGAGCTGAAATAAACCGGGGCTACAATCACCACTGTTAGTCCTCCCAAGTATCTTTTCTGTCTCTTGTTCTTTCTTTCAATCCTCACTCCCCCTTTCAGGTACTGTCCGTCTTGGCTGGCTGGCACCGGCAGGTAGGTAGATAGATAGATGATAGATAGATAAGATTAGATAGATAGATGATAGATTAGATAGGTAGATAGATAGATGATTGATGATAGATAGATAGATAGATAGATAGATGATAGATGATGGATGGATGATAGATAGATAGATAGATAGATAGATAGATAGATAGATAGATAGATAGATAGATAGATAGATGATAGACAGATTGATCCCAGCCTTGGGCATGGGGCTTGCTGTCCAGCCTGCCTACCCTAACTAATGAGCTCCAGGACAGTAAGAGACCTTGTTTCAAAAAGCAAGGAGAAGGCCAGGTGTAGGGGTGTAGGCTTTTTAATCCCGGCACTGGGGAGGCAGAGGCAGGCGATCTCTGTGAGTTCAAGGCCATCCTGGTCTACATAGTGAGTTCCAGGACAGCTGGGGCTACAGGGAGACCCTGTCTCAAGATGGACAGCACCTGAAGAACCCAAGGTTGACTTTTGTCTTCAACTTGTACATACACATGTGCATACACACCTGCATCCATGTGCACCACAGACACATGATAGAAGAGGGGAAACAGAGATATATTACATAGTATATATTAGATAATATCTAATAGTAATGAATAATTATACTACATTATTCATAATATAATTTCTATAACATGGAAAATTGGTAATGCCTAATATATTTTATTTAGTATATTATACAATACAGTATATAATATCTATCACAAGATGTGTACAGCACATTTATTAGCAATCTATTGAGTTTTATTAATAATAATGAATTCACTGAGTGTTTCCCCTCTCTCAAGCATTTACAAGTCAACTTTCTTCCATTTCCTGGGGATGTTAGCAGGGCGGTTCTACTGTGTGTTTGGATCAAAACGGGGGCAGGCATGGTGTCAAACCCTGTAATCCCAGCTCTAAGTAGACTGAGGCAGGAGAATCCAGTTCCAGGACGACCTGGGCTACAGAAGGAGAGTATGTCTCAAACACAGCCAGGTTTGGTATCTCCAGCCTGTCATCCCAGCCCTTGGAAGGGCTGGAGAATCAGGAGTTCAAGGTCAACCTTGGAGATAGAGTAAATTCAAGGACAACCTGGGCTACATGATACTCTGTCTCATAGAGAGAGGGGAGGGGAGGGGAGGAGCGGGAGGAAGAAACACAAGAACAAGTAGGATTTGACCTCAGTCTCCTGGACTGGCTGAGCAGACAGAGCTTGCCACAGGCACAGAGCCCTGAGAACTGCACAGAATTTCACAACCCCCAACTTACTGAACCAGCCCTGGGAGGGAGGGAGAAATGAAGCCCATTTGCTGGAGGAGTAAACAGACGCCATGACAGTGAAGTGGCTTCTCCAGCATGAGAGGGGCCCTCTTGTCTCCAACTTCACTCGTGGCTTTTGGTGAAGCTGACCCATCTGTGCCACTCTGCCTATTCCGTCTGCTTCTGGAGGGGAATTCCCTGGGGGAGGACACATTGTCCTCCCTTCCTCAGTCTGTCTCTACCTCTCTCTGTCTCTCTCTGTCCCCCCCTCACCTCCCTCCCCTAGAGCCCCTCTCATATGCTAGGCAAGTATTCTACCCCTGAGCCACACCCCAGCCCCTCACTGGGGATTCTAGGCAGGGGCTCTACCATGGAGCCACACCCCAGTCCCTCACTGGGGGATTTTAGGCTCTACCACTGAGTCGTGCCCCAGCCCTTCACTGGGGCATCCTAGGCAGGGGCTCTACCCCTGAGCCATACCCCAGGCCCTCACTGGGGGATTCTAAGCAATCACTTTACCACTGAGCCACCTCCCCATCATCTATCATCTCTTTTTTATGTTTTTCTTTTTCTTCTGAAGCAGAGTCTTGCTGAGTTACCCTGGCTGGCCTTGAACTCACAGCAAGCCTCATTTCTCAGCCTTAGGCCTGGCCATCCAGCTGCCAGAGGTGGAACAGAGGGGAGATGGACAAGGGGAGGGCTTGATGAGGGTTCTTGGTTCATGTGACAGCTTCAGAGCCACACACCTGGCCACCCCAGGGACATGCCTCACCCATATCCATTCTTGGGTATTTCCAAAACAGCTGGATAATTTGCTTACCAGCAGTAATTTGTTTAGAAATGAGAACCATAGCCCTGAATGGCTTCCTAGGGGCGTAGGTGCCCTCCAGGAGAAGTTAAGCTGGAGAGGGTTATAGACAAGGCAGTTAGAACCCTGAGCCGTGGGGAAAGATGGTGACCAGGATTGGAAGGGTGCTTCCCAGAGGGAGTCTTGGGGGCTGAGCTTTGGGGGATGAATAGAAGTGTGTGTCCAGTGAAAAAGAGGGAGGGAAGTGCTGACTCACAAGCCCAGAGGCAGCGGCTCTCCAGTGACTGTGACGTGTCCCCACAGCATACTGGAATGCCACCCGGGCCTTCATGATCCTGTCTGCCTTGTGTGCCACCTCGGGCATCATCATGGGTGTCCTGGCCTTCGCTCAGCAGTCCACCTTCACCTGCCTCTCCAGGCCCTTCTCTGCTGGCATCCTGTTTTTTGTCTCCAGTGCATGAGCCCACCCTCCTCTCCCCCTCCCCAAGTTCCTGACCTCACCCTTCCCACCCCAACACTTCTGTTCCCCCCCCCTTCTCTTTACTGTCCACCCTACTCCCCTCTCTTCCCAAAACCAGCTTGATGGACGTTTCTTTCTTCTTTTAACTAGAAATAATTTTGCTCTTCCTCCCTCCCTCCTTTCCTTTCTCTCTTTTTCCTGGTGTTAATAATAAAAACCCAGTAATTTACATATCCTAGGAAAGCACCCTACTGTTGAGCCACACCCCAGCCCCTCACTGGGGATCCTAGGCAGGGGCTCCACCACTGAGCCATACCCCAGCCCCTCTGGGGATTCTAGGCAGGGGCTCTACCACTGAGCCATACCCCAGCCCCTCTGGGGATCCTAGGCAGGGGCTCCACCACTGAGCCATACCCCAGCCCCTCTGGGGATTCTAGGCAGGGGCTCTACCACTGAGCCACATTCCTGGCCTCTTTTTACTTTTTATTTTGAGACAGGTTTTTCAGTAAGTTGCCCAGGCCAGTGTTGAACCTGCCATCCTCCTGTTTCAGCTCCCTAAATGGTAGGATGACAAGCATCCAACACAGGAAAGATTACCTCTAATTTCAACATATTCTGACACTAACTAATACACTGAAATACAATTCTGGCCTGTGTCAGACTTCAAAGTCCCCAACACAGGATGTAAGTGGGATCCCCAAGCCACCCACACTTTTCTCTAACTGGCTACAAATTCAGAGGTTTCTAAGACACTCTTGGGTTGAAAATTCAATGGAAAAACTCATAGAACTTGAGAATAAGTTACTCTTGCAATGACAGTTTCATTATAAAGGTCGCAGCTCAAGACCAGCAAATGGAGCGACATAGGGCTCTGAGTCTCATCAGAATTTCATGCTGCAGCTGATGAGTGCCACATGTGGTTACTTTTTTCTCGTCACTGTGATGAAATCCTTGACAAAGAAAAAAAAACAGCTTAAGGAAGGTATAGTTTATTTTGACTTGCAGTTTGAGGGCACAGTCCAACATGACAGAGACGCAACGGCAAGAATGTGGAGCAGGTGATCACACCACATCCTCAGTCAGAAAGCATAAAGCAACAAATGCTGGCGATCAGCTGTTTCTCCTACGTATTCAGTCCAGGACCCCAAGCCCATGAGCTAGTGCTGCCCACATCCAGGATGGGTTTTCCCACCTCAGTTAAACCTCACTGAAACACAGTGGCAGACACCCTCAAAGGTGTATCTCTTAGGTGAGTCTAAATCCAGTCAAGCTGACAGTGAAGGTTCCCCATCACAGTTGGAATCTCGGTGCAAGGACTTTGTCTGACCAGCTTCCTCTCCATCCCAGAGGCAGAGCTGATACCTCAGGCTTGAGACCTTAACAGTCTAGTCCCCTGGTGGGTCTTTCTGATGGCCATCTTGAGCCATCTGTTTCATGAACATAAACTCCAGTGTGGTCCGGTGAGCTCTCTGGAGTAGCTAAGACTTTCCTATAACTTAGACAGTGTAAGGATTTAGACCCCCTCCCAAATGGAGAGGCAAAGACCAGTCAAATCTTTTATCCTGCAGCCCAGCCCTTCCCTCACCCCCATCCCAGCCCTACCCCACTCTCTTCATTCTCTCGTCCCCACGAGCACTAACCTCCCCTTTGCTTGTTTCTCCTTCTGTATCTCCAACTGCCCTGGCCTTCTCACCCCCACCCCTATGATCTCTCTTCAGCTCTGTTTGCCCCGCTGGCCCTGGCCATTTACACTGGCGTCACAGTCAGCTTCCTCGGCCGCTGCTTTGGGGACTGGCGCTTTTCCTGGTCTTTCATCCTGGGCTGCGTAGCCCTGCTCATGACCTTCTTTGCAGGTACTGAGGTTGGAGAGGTGGGAAGGTCAAGGTGTGGGGCAGGGTAGGCACTTCAAAGAGTCGGATGACAGGACTTCCCACAGTGATGTGAAGGCGGGGTGGGCACCTTAGAGAGTGGGATGACAGGATTTCCCACAGGGTGGGCACCCCAGAGGGTCAGATGACAGGATCTCACTTCAGTCATCTGAAGTCAGGGTGAGCATCTGAGAGTGTCAAATGACAGGATCTCCCACAGTGATCTGAAGGCAGATCCCAGGCCTGGGGAGTCTGGGGGCTGGTGATCCTCCAGGGAGGGAAGAAAGGAGGAGTCTCCTGGGATGGGAACAGAGGCCAAGAGGGTTTGGGGTATCAACTGGGGTGTCTGTTCACACAGGAATCTTCTACATGTGTGCCTACCAGATGCACGAGTCCCGGCACCTCTCCACCCCATGCTGAGGCCTGGGGTCAAACTTGCCACCAGGAGTTAGAATGATGGCACAGAAGAAGGAAAGGGTCTAGAGGCGGGAAGTCCTGGCTCCTAGGGGCATGAGGGGGCTCAGTCCTACACTCTGGATGGGAGCCCCTGATCCCTCTGTCCTGCAGGGAAGGAGGAAGAGTTAGGGCCAAGTGGGAGCTGAGATGCTCCAAAGCCCCAGCTGTCCCAGGGGTGTTAGAGAAATGGAAACTCTATAGAGTGACATTTGGGCATGTAATAAAAGTGATGTGAAACTACTGATGTGTGAATCCTTGAAGGGTTGGGGTGGAAACTAACAGGCTAGGGTGGTTGTGGGAGGGGAACTGGGGTGCTCTGGTATGGTGACCCTATTTCCTCAGTTTCTATGGGGATGAGAACAAGATAAATCAGCCACTACCCAGGAGAATTCAGCTTCTAGAAACAGAGGCGTGGGGTAGCAGGATCAACAAAGATCTGTGAAAGCACAGCATACCTGCCTTCCCACCTCAACTCCAGGCAGCCAGCTTCCTGACTCCTCTCCACTGGAGAGGCCCCTCCACTAGAAGCAGCACAGCTCTGAGCTAGGTTCCTGCCTCTATTTTCTTTGTGTGTGTGTGAGATAGACTCTCATGTAGCCCAGGCTGACCTCAAATTTTTTATATAGCCAACGATGACCTTGAATTTTTGATCCTCCTGCCTCCACCTCCTGAGTACTAGGATGAAAGTCATGCACCACCATGCCCAGTTTTATGTGGTGCTGGGAACATAACCCAGGGCTTTGTGCATGCTAGGCAAGCACTCTACAACTGAGCTGCATCTCCTATCCCTGCACCTTCTCTTTCATGTCATTAGAGGCTAGCCTGGTCTACATAGTGAGTTCCAGGCCAGCCAGGGCCACATAATGAGACCCTATTTCAGATAAACAAACAATTAAACAAATAAAGTATATGTTAAGTATTTTTAAACTTTATTATTTTTATGTGTATGCATGCATGTATTGCCTGCATGTAGGTAAGTGCACCCGTGTTGTGCAATGCCTGAGGAGGTCAGAAGAGGCTGTCGGATCCCCTGGGACTGGAGTTACAGACAGTTGTTAGGTGCCATGTGGGTGCTGGGATTTGAACCCGGGTCTTCTGTAAGAACAACCAGTGTTCTTAATCTCTGAGCCATCTCTCCAGCCCGCAAGTGTGGGAGACAGGCTTGAGCCTAGGGTGAAAGTCTTATTGACTGCCATACAGAGGCAGCCCAACCCCTGGAGCCACTAGGAACGCCTGTGAGCTTGTGACATTTGCTCCCATTGGCAGATCATGAGACTGATGCCTAGAGCTTGCCACTCCCTAATCACCACCCTTGAGATCCCAAATTGCAGCACTTAGACAGCCTGGGTCTCGTGATTCCCAGGAAACCAGGTCCTATAAGGAAACCCGAACCTAGTAACCTGAAACCCACTATGCTAATGAGGAGTCTGGCTCGGGGATGTCATGATAGGACACAGCCCTGCCAAAGATCTGAGTTGTAACTTCTTGATTGGACCCTGACCCCTATATAAGCTTGTGCCCTTGTGCACCATGCGGAGAGCAGCCACAGGTGGTGCCCATGCGAGTGGAGGAGCGGCACCCGGAGATAGCACTGGAAGAGTAGACGGGCGGCTGCCAGGCCGCACCCAAGGATTTTTTTTTTAATTTTATTTATTATTTTTAATTTTATGTGTATGAGTGAAATGCGTCCCATGTCATGCAGTGCCTGCAGAGGTCAGAAGAGGGTGTCAGATCCCCTGGAACTGGAGTTACAGTTGTTAGCTGCCATGTGGGTGCTGGGAATCAAACCCGGGTCCTCTACAAGAGCAGTCAGTGCTCTTAACCACTTGAGCCATCTCTCCAGTCCCAATAGCTTAAATTTTTAAAAAGAATCTTTATTACAGGCTCTGCTAATCAATGTTAGACAAGTAGGGGTTTATTTTCTAAAATATTATTGGTGTACTCTCAAAAAACAGTATTATATTTATAGTGACTTAGAATAGTGGCGGCTGAGGCCGTTTTTAAAGATTTATTTTTATTATTTTAGGATTTATTTTTATTTATGTGTATGAATGAATGCCATTTGAAGGGGGGGTTTACTCACGGAGGACAGCTGGAGTTATATGTAGCTGTGAACTGCCCAATATGGGAATTGAACTCAGGTCCTTTGGAAGAGCAGCAAGTGCACTGTTGAGCCATGTTCCCAACCCCTATTTATTTTTATGTGTGTGTGTTTGTCTGCATGTAGGTAAGTGCATCACATGCATGCAGTGCCTACAGCAGCCAGAAGAGGGCATCAGATCCCCTAGAACTGGAGTTACAGACAGTTTCGAGTTGTTATGTGGGTGCTGGGAACTGAACTCGGGTCCTCTGCAAGACCATCCAGTGCTGTTAAACTGCTGAGCCATCTCTCCAGCCTCTCAGGTATTTTTTAACAGATTTATTGGGGTCTGCATAAGTAAAAACTTTTACTCAGGCTTATTCCTGTAAACATTTATAGGTTCTGACTGTAGTGATAATATTGCTGCAATAATAACTCTAGACTCAAATCTCAAAATGAAGAGGGATCTCAAATATTGCAGTCATAAAAACACATTTCTGGCCAGGTATGGTTGTGCATGCCTTTAGTCCCAGCACTTGGGAGGCAGAGGCAGGCTGATCTCTGTTAATTCAAGGCCAGTCTGGTCTACACAGTGAGTTCCAGGCCAAATGGGGCTACAGGGAGACCCTGTCTTTAAAAGACGAAAAAAGAAAAAGAAAAAATAACTTCTGGAGGTTGGAGAGATATGTATGCGTGTATTGCCTGCATGTATGTGAGTGCACCCGTGCCATGCAATGCCTCGGAGGTCAGAAGAGGACTTCGGATTCCCCTGGAACTGGAGTTAAGAATGGTTCATAGCTGCCATATGGGTCCTGGGAATTGAACCTGGGTCCTCTGCAAGAGCAGTCAGTGCTCTTAACTGCTGAGTCATCTCTCCAGCCCCATATAAAAGATATATATTTTTTAATGATGGGGTTTCAGTCATGGAAGGTGGCTGGGCTGATTTGCTCACCATGTGCCTGAGTCCCGGGCTTCCTGATGCCTGCCTCTGTGCTCCTTGCTGGAGCCCTGTATGTGGCCGTTTTGTGTTAGTGGCCACACTGCCTGTGATGTGCTCCCTGTGCATCTGGGAGCCCGTCCTCCTGATCTTGTTCTCAGAAGCAGACACTTGCCTGGCTGGTGAGAGACAGAGATCTGCAAGTTCACTCTCTAGTAATGAGAAATCTGGTGTCCCGTGGCATCTCTTGTGCTCAGCATTCACCAGCCGGCCTCTTCTGGCCTAGTTCATGGTTGTGATCAAAGTCCCCTGGCAAGCCAGTGTCACACACAGAGGATTCCTGGGCTTTCTTTTTTCTTCCATTTTTTCTTTGACTTCCTTTTCTTTTTTCTCCCTCCCCCTCCTCCCCCTCTCCCTGCTTCCCC